ACTTGCTTGTTGGTGGACACTTACCAGTAAAGCATAATCCTCAGGGTGGTACAGATATGCACGGACGCCAGGATTGTTCGAAAATGGCTCCAATAGACTTTTGATAGGTGTAACAGCAGGTGTGACAAATATAGAGTTCACAGGTTTCCCTTGAATAAATGCATAAATGGTACATACATCAGTATGTTCAATGATATGTTCCCATGGTCTATCTGGATCACTTACTACAATTGCCAAACTGAGCACTATACTGTACGTCAGAGAAAGCAGATTCAAATATTGCATTCATCGCTTCCATTTTCATAAATGAACTAGAGATATATCAGTAATGATTTTTTTTCCATATGTGACCCTGGACCACAAAACCAGTCATAAGGGTAAATTTTTCGAAATTGAGATTTATACGGCATATGAAAGTTGACTCATGTTTCGATCAAACTGCCCAAAGTTCAGACATTTTTACAATGTAATTTAAACTGCAAAATAACAAATAAACTGGATGCCACTCACTAATGAAGTCATGAGAAAACAATGTTTCAAATGTTTGTCACTGCATGTTTGTTTTTTTATGCATTTATTGAAAAAACTGAAATAAAAAATAAAATAAAAAGTAAATTGGTGCAACAAATTGGTGTGGAAACTTTGAAATTGCAAGTAAATTTCACAAACAATAACAGAGAAACAAGTAACACATTGAATTAAATGTAAACTTTAGACGCACAAAAACAGAAATTGTATTTTCCTGTAAAACATATTCCAATATTTTTTGTTTTATTTACAACTTCAAAAAATAATTTTTTGCAATATTAAGAAGGTTTTTTTTTTGGCTCTTGATTTTTCTTTTGGATTTGGATTCTTTCTGATTTTTTATGTACTGAGGTGAATTTTGTTACCTTGGTGATCCAACAGAACCATTATGCGGTCTCGATGAGTGTGACCGTAGAACTGACCCTGAACGACGTCACTGTAGTTCCGAAATATTTTGACCAGTTGCTCATTGTAGCTTTCTCGGACGGCTGTTGTATTTATAGCATAGGGTAGGGAACGTGAGCAATTACATAGACCTCAGAGGGACAGATGAAATTACGGTCAGCAGTCACTCACACACCACTGCTGTCACTTACATGGACATACCACTATGCAACTGTTAATTTACAGTCTTGTAATAAAATGGCCCCATATGATCAGTGCAGCGGGTTCTTTCTAAAATTAAAATGCCTTGTAAAATCAGACAGAATATACTCACCATCTCCATTTTTTGTCTTGATAGCTCAAGCGTTCCCTGCAGCCACTGGAACTGCCCAGCAGGGTCAGTCATATTTACAGTCACTTGATTTGGACTGTAGTACAGGTTTGTGTTGAGACTCACCAGACGGAGGCCGGGTTTGATCACAAGAGAGTAAAAGCCACCTTCACACAAACAAGTGATGTACAAAGAGCATTAGCTCAATACACTGTCGCAGCTAAAGTTCACTGTTAAGTGTGTGCACCACAGTTACATAGAGAAAAAAAGTTACTAAATTATTAAATAAATAAATGAAATAATTGTGGAAAAAATTTATAGGCTATATACATTTATTTGACAGGCTTTGGATTTAAATTTATATAACATATAATCTGTTGCATCATACTGTTGTTTGCATCAAAGTATTTTAATAAGGCTAAAACCTGTGCTGACCAAGCAGCATTTATTATCTCCAAATAATTTAAATATAAATTTTCACATATGTAGTAGAATGTCTTCTTTATAAGCAGTTACCTTTTTGCAAAGTAGCTACAGCTTCTGGATTCAACCACGGAGACCAGAGTTTGGCTACAGCATCGTAAATCGCATTTGCAGATGCTGGCAACTGATCCTAAAAAGTTTTAAAATGAGATTAACATAATAATAATAATAATAATAATAATAATAAATGAAAACAAACAAATTAAAACACAGCATAAAATATTTAGAATTTTCTGAATACTCAACATTTATAAAAAAAAATCTTCTTGAGCTGTATCATGCATCATATAAGTAATTTACAAATATTTTAATTATAAATACATATATATATATCATTTTTAAAATATGTTCAAATTTGATATGGTTTCAAAATATTAATATCATTGTTAAAACATATTATTGAAATATTCAAAAATGTTTCAAAATATTACCGTTTTTACTGCATTTTTGATCAAATAAATGGAGCCACTTATGTTTGAAATATTTTTCATTGCATAATTGTTTTTGTGCATTTCTATTTTGTAAAATCGAAATACAGTAATAAAATATAAATATACTATTTATACAACAAAATATTTATATCAAATATTTGTGTTTTAAAAAATAAGTTGTAAGTCATTTTCAGTGTATACAACAGTATGCAAATATTCCATTCAAACAACCTGAACCTAAACCATGTGCACTTTATTTGACCCCAGAACTGTTGTCTTGGATTTAATTCCCAGCTAAGAACTCTTGTTGCCCTTGGGATTGAAATACCTGTGGCCAGTAGTCGTGGTTGCCCAGGGCAGGATAAACTGGCAGCTGTGGGAAGAACTGCCGTATGGTGTGAGTCATATTGGCAATAACATTGATCACCACATCAGTAGACAGTTCTTCTTTCGGGACGTGTGGAAGGCTGTCTCTGCAGTGAGGTGCATAGAATTTTAAGAAAATTAATAAAAACATAAAAGAAAAAAAAAAACATGAAGTGTTCATTAGCTCCGACATTAAATTATCTTCCAGATTAATCTAACCAAGTAAAATCACAAAACAGCTGCAATCAGTAAATGAAATTCCTTTATACCCTGTCCATATAATGAACTCAGGCTGCAGGTCTGCTTGTTTCATGTAACTGAATGCTGAGAGAATAAGCTGGTATGGGGAAATCACACAGGAAATCACCAAACACTCCTGGGTCCAATGCAGGAATGCCCTTGGAGGAAAAACAGACTTTGGTGTGGTCTTCTGTGACATGGTAGGTTGGATCCAAATGCAGGTCTGAGATATGCCAGAATTTAGCTGGAATTTAAAATGCTTATGTTAAAATCATTTCACAAATATGTAAATTACTCCCCTTAAACACTGACATGTCAAATATTTTGTTGCACTCGGGAGCTATGCAAATATTTAATTTTAGATATTAGATATTTAATCTTTATTTAAAAATGAATTTTTTAAATTTGTTTTTTGACTTAATTTTTATATACATTTTTGACTGTTAATTAATATATATATATATATATACATATATACATATACAGGTGCATCTCAATAAATTAGAATGTCGTGGAAAAGTTCATTTATTTC